TACTTTTGGGTATCGAATTTTTCGAAAGTCCAGTGGACATCTTTAATCCTTTCATCACTGTGGAAATTAGAATTTGATCAAAATTTTCTGGGTGGGTTTATTTATGTGGTGGAGGATTGGTTTGATCATTATGGAGGATAGGTCTGAGAATATCCTGAAGGGCTGGTTTAGTTATGGCAAATTACTTCAATATGTGAATGTCATTAAAGTATTTCTCCATTATAAATGAAACTCAGTTTAGCTGGATACAGGATTCTGGATTGAAAGTTATTTTGTTTTAAGAGATTAAAAGTCGATGACCACCCTCTCCTAGCTTGAAAGGTTTCAGGAGAGAGATCTGCAGTCATTCTAATATTCTTCCCTTGCAGGTTAGGGTTTTCTTGCGTCTAGCTGCCTTCAGAATTTTCTTTTTTGTGTTAACTTTGGTGAAGTTGATTATGATATGCCTGGGGGATGTCTCGTTCGGGTTGAGTCATGCTGGGTTTCTAAAGCTGTCTGCTATCTGAATTTCAGAATCTCTTGGCATGTCTGGAAAGTTATCTTTCATAATTTCATGAAGAAGTGCCTCTGCGTTTTGTGAAGCATCTTCGTCACCTTCAGGGATTCCTGTAAGGCGAATATTAGTTTTCTTTGAATTATCCTGGAGCTCTCTGAGCAAGTGGTCTTTTTGTCTTTGATCTTTGGTCTTTTTGTCCATTTGTCTTGATCTTTGAAGGTCTGGTCACATTCAAAATCTTTGTCTTCAGTGTCAATGATCCTTTCTTCTGCCTGGTCCACTCTCTGACAGAGAGATTCAACCATATTTTTCAGATCTTTAAGGGCTGCAACCTCTTGCTTCAGTATGTCATACTGTTTGATCATTTTATCTTTGAAATCATTAAATTCTTGAGACAACTTTTGAATAATTTGAAATCCTAGATCCCTCCTTTCCTCCAATCTGTTGATCTTATTCGCTATCCAGATTCTGAACTCAATTTCTGACATCTCAGCCATCTGTTTATGGAAGGGGTCTTCAATTGCGTCTGTCCCATCCTTCCTTGGGGGGATTGATCTACTCTGGTTGTTCTGGTTACCAGAGTTTTTCTGCTGATTCCGCCCCATGCTGAATTTGCACCTTTCGAAGACCGTTCCTAAAAGTGTTCTGCCAGCGGTTTCTTCTGGTTGTCTAGATAGACAGGACATGTCTGCTCGGAAAAGCCTCAGAAATATAAAACTTTTGTTCCAGCTGCTGAAGCTGTTGCTCTTCGACTTGTGGTATCACCACTCCAGTGTGGTTCCCTCTCAACTGACGGTTCTCTCACCATTCTCAGACCCACCCTGGAATGCTGGAGCACCCCTGGGGGAGCAGAGGAGCAACCCTGCAGGCATCCACAAAAGGGATGTGCTAGCTTGATCAGTCCTGGATGTGCCACTGTGGAGTCCCCCAAAGAGCGGAGATAGCAATAGGCAGGCAGCTGTGGGGGCACGCTGGCTGGTGGATCAGTCTTCGGTGTGGCCACCAGGGGGCCCCTGTGGTGCAAGAGGCAATCAGCAGGCAGCCGGCATGGGGCATGCTGGCTGATGAGAACAGTCCTGGGTGCTGCAGATGTCAAATCCCTGTGAAGCGGGGACTGATGCCAGGGTAGGAAAGCAGGCACAGGATGTGCTGGCTCTAAGGATTCAGTCCTTGGGAGTGCGACGGTGGCGGTGGTCTCCGCAGAACGGGGACCATAGACCAGGCAGGCAGGCAGGCAGGCAGGCAGGCATGCATGGGAAGCACTGGCCTGTAGGATTTAGTCCTGGGCGCCTGGCGGCCCTGAGGGTGGGGGAAGCCCTGGCCCATGGGATTTAGTCCTGGGTGTGTGGTGGCAGGGGCAGTGGCATCCCGGGGAGCGGGACTGCTGATCAGGCAGGCAGGCAGGCAGCTGTGGGAAGTGCCGGGCCACGGGATTCAGTCCCAGGTGCGCTGCAGCAGCCCCCCAGAAGCGGACTGTGGACAGGGCAGGCAGGCGGGCGTGGGAAGTGCCTTCATTGATTTCTTGAAACAATTTTTGAACTCCTTTTTGAATTTCAATTTCTAACACTTCTTATATTCCATTGATCTTATTTGCCATCCATGTTATGAATTCTGTTTCTGACATTTCAGCCATTTGTCTATGAATGGCATATTCTGTTTTATATCCTTTGTCATTCTTTGGGGAAGTTAGCTACTCTGAATATTCATGTTGCTGGACTTCTTTGTCTGGTTCCACACCATGAGTGTTTTCTTCCGTTTGGCTATTTAAAGTGATAGGGTAAGATTGAATTGGGGTCCCCAGGAAGTAGAATTACTCTTCCTTTAACCAATGAGCTGGGGCTTGTGACTGTGAGTTTACCCATATAGCCTTACAAAGGTCCCTTTCAGAACTGTAGCCTAAGTCTCTGAAGATCTGCTCAGTAAGGGAGTGCAAGATGGCTCTGACTTGAAATCAGCCACCTCTACCCCTTCTTAAGGAGACTAGTTATTGGGCTGGAATCTCCTCTGGGGAGAAATACAAGCATCTTTCGTGTCCCACTCCCCACCAGTGACAGTTGGTGAAGCAAATTCACTCCTTTCCCACTTATAAGCAAGAGGCCCTCAACCTTGGACAAACCCAGGTGGACAGCTCAGTTCTAGAGCTCTATACAGATTGATCCAGACAGTACAATCACTGCTCAATAGGGAGAGCTCAGAGGGTCTCCAGTATCCCAGTAGTGGAAATCCACAGACCGTTCCAACCAGCATACACAATGGGATGGAGCCTTGTCCCCTCAGGTTGACCTTTAATTCAGGAACGATCACTAGCCACAGTCAGGACAAAGGCATCAGCACCTGCACCCTTGTAAGTCCTAGCTAGGCCTCAGTTTACCCTCCCTTGAAAGTCCAAACCTGGCATCAGTGGCCAGCTCTTGAAAGTCCCAACTGGGCACCAGAGGCTCCATTCTTGAGACTGTAAACCAGGTGTCAGCAGCTCTGCTGTTTAAAATCCAAACCAGGAGTCAGTACTCAGCCACTGAAAGTCCAACTGGGCGCCTATGGCTCCACCCATGAAATTCCAAACTGGGTGCTTCAGCCCTGGAAAGTCCAAACTGGGAGTCAGTGGCTCCACCCTTGAATGTCTAAACAAAGTGCCAATGGCTACACCCTTGTTAGTCCAAACCAGGCATCAGCAGCTCCACTCTTGAACATCCATACTAGGAGTACGTGGCTCTGCCCTTTAAAGTCCAAACATGGGTCAGCTCCACCACTCGTTAAACTCCCAACCAGTTGTGATTGGCTCCATTCCTGAAAGTCCCAACAGGGCTGAGCTCACCTGCCCAGGGCAGCTCTAACCTGGCATCAGAGTTTCTGCCATTGAAAGTCCGAACAGGGAGTGGGGGGCATCTGCGCCACCACCCACAGTGCAAAATCATGAGTATTTTTCCCTTCCAAGCTCACTCTCTTACCATGCCCCCCCCCCGCCTCCACTCAAGTCACTGTTTCTACACTTCTATCTATACAATGCCCTGGCCTCCCAGGGAATTGCCACACACTCTGGGTTTTGTAGGGGGGAGACCTTCAGGCCCTGGGCAAGGGGAGAAGGGTGTACTGAAAGTTCAGTATTGCATGTAGTATTTCTTGAATGAACATTTGTTAAACTCCATCAAAAGCATAGTCCTTTGATTGTTCCACTGTCTTCCAACCTATTCTCTGTATTTCTGTATTCTCCCATACTAAGTCAACTTGGATCCTATGAGCCATCTCTTCAGCCACCAGCACCCCAGTGGTAAAGAGATAGACTCATACACTTGCTGCCTTTGTTCCCTTGTCCTTCCATCACAACCACCGAAGCAAGACCCAAACCTTGTGTAATTCACATCCCCCATTTTTCAGCATCCACTGCGATGTTGCTGATCATTGCTTGAAGAAGATCTGTATTTATCTGCTTCCACAGCCATCCTTACAGACTCCTCAAAGTCAGTGTCACCTTCTCTTATCTGGCATCCTAACTCATCACACTTTCTCAGGGATGTACTACTTTGTTAAATTCTTGAGTTTTCCACAACTATTTACTGTCATTTTTTATTAGCTTTTGCCCCATGGTCTATGCAGTACATGTACGCTCAACTCTTTTCCTCTTATCCTAAGAAAATCCTCCCTTGTCCCTGTGTCATCCACTAGTTATGTCCCCCATCTCTCTATTCTTACACAGATACTCAAAATGAATCTTTAGCCCCTGTTCATGATCATCTTCCTTTACCTACTACTTTATGCTTTCATCCTCCATATCTTTGTTAAAGCTATTATCCTCTCACCTGCCATGCTTTCCCTGGGTCTCTATTCTGCTGAATTCATACTTGCCTTTGAACCAAAACTGGAGCCCTATTTTCCCTAAAGAGCTATCTCATCTCCAGCTCGTCTGTGAATTCAAAATGCCACAGCTACCTATGCATACTAAAAGACAAAATAGCCTCCAATTCAATTTATAAATTTGATATAACTCTAATCCCCAAATATGGAAATATATAGAAAGAAAACAATAAAGAAGTATGAGCAAGCAGATTTTTCATAGCATCTTACTCTCAGATGTTTGGTTGTAGCTGCTTAGAATGCTGTGTGGACAAAGATTCCATGGATGTACCTTGACTCCATAGGAAGGGCTACTGCAATTGATTAGCAGTATCTGTAAACATGGGGAATAAATACAAAAAGAAAATAAACAATAGCACATTTTGGTACCAAATATACTGTTTTCTCACACTTTTTTCCATTGTCCTCATCTTCCCGTCCCACCCTCCCACCGCAGGTTTTCTTATATCTCCCAGCTTTTATGCTCATCCCCATGGGCCATAGTGATGAAAATATTACAATTACCCGAAACCTCACTAGACATAGGAGAAGCCATAGGCACCAAGGCTGATGGCTTCATCACCAAAGCTAGCAACAGTGCTCAATACACCACTGAAGCCAGAAACAGTGCTCAGTCTACTGCCAAAACAAACACTGGTGTTTGGTTCACTGATGAAGACAGTTCCAGTGCTCAGTTCTCTGATGAAGCCACCAGTGCTGGGTCCACCACTGAAGCCAAAAATATAACTGGGTCCACTACTGAAACTGGTGGTGGTGTTGGGTTTGCCAGTGAAGCCATTGCTCGTGTTGGAACCACTGCCAAAGCCAGTGATGGTACTCAGTCCTCTGTCAAAGCCAGTATTAGGCCCACTGCCAAACCTATCACTAGTGCTGAGGCCACCACCAAAGCCAGCACTGGTGCCAAGTGTGCTTCCAAAATAATCATTAGTTCCCAGTCCACCACCAAAGCCATCACTGGTGACCAGTCTGCCACTAAAGCCAACACTGATGCCTAGTGCACCAACAGAGCCAGTACTGGTGGCTAGTCCACCACTGAAGCTGTAACTGCTCCCTAGTCTGCCACCATAGATGGCACTGGTGTCTAGTCCACCAATGAAGCCAGTGCTAGTCCTTAGTCCACCACCAAATCCAGCACCGGTGCTTTGGCACCATTGCCAAAATTGAAACCGGGCACTGGTGTGGGTCCATCACAAAAACTGGCGCTGGTAGTACCACTAAAGCAGTAACTGGTGCCAGAAGTTCCATTAAAGTGTAGGTTGGTGTTAGATGTGCTGCCAAAGCAGAGGCTGGTTCTGGGAGCTCCATCAAAGTTGACAGTGGTGCTGGGAGCAACATCAAAACCAATACTGTTTCTAGGAGTACCACTGAAGTCATTACTGGTACTAAGTGCCCCCCCTAAAGCCATCACTGGTGCTGAATGCACCTCCAAAGCCAGGGTTGGTGCTGGGTGCATCACTGAAGCCAATCCTGGTGCTTATAGCACCATTAAAACTGTCATTGGTGTTGAGTGCACTGCCAAAGGTGGCACTGGTATTGAACACTCCATCAAAACTTGCACTAATGTTGGGAGAACTAGTAAAGCAGATTCTGGTGTTTAATATACTGGAAAAGTAAGTACTAGTGCTGGGTGAACAACTGAAGCTAAGTACTGGTGCTTATGGCACCGCTAAAACTGGCATTGGTGTTGAGTGCACTGCCAAAGGTGGCACTGGTGTTGAGTGCTCCATCAAAGCTGACACTAATGCTGGGAGAGATACTAAAGTAGATACTGGTGCTTACTGTACTGCCAAAGATGGTGCTGGTGCATACAGCACCACCAAAATCAGCACTGGTGTTAAGTGCACTGCCAAAGCCAGCACTGGTACTTAGTTCATGGCCAAAGGGAACACTGATACTGGAAGAGCCACCAAAGCAGACACTAGTGGTTAGTGTACTGCCAAATACAGTGCTGGTGCAAACAACACTACCAAAACTAGCACTGGTGTTGAGCACATCACCAAAGCTGGCACTGGTTCCAGGAGAACCAACAAAGCAGATGCTGGTGCTGAGTGTACCACCAAAACCAGTGCTGGTGTTGGGAGAGTACCAGATACTTGTGCTGAGTTTACCTCCAGAACAAGTGCTGGTGCTAACTGCATCACTGAAGACCATGCTCATGGTGAGCACACATGGTGCTGGTGCTGAGTGAACCACTAAAGTCAGCCATGGTGTTGAGTATGCTTCCAAATCCAGAGCTGGCTCCACCACTGAAACTAGCACTGGTATTGAGTTGACCACTGAAGTTAGAACAGACTCCATCCCTAAAGCTGGCACTAATATAAGGTGTGCCACCAAAACTAATTGTGGCTTAACTGCTAAGACTAGTTCTAGTTCTAGGTGTACCATCAAGGTAATATAGGATGTACTGCTGAAGTTTGAGCTAGTGTTGGCTGTGCCTTCTAAACTAATGCTAGCTGCACTGATGAAGCTGGCATTGGTAATGGGTGCACCACCAAAAGTAATGCCAGCTTCACCACTGAAGGCACCACTGGGGCTGGATATACCACTGAAGCTAGTACTAGCATTGTGGCTGAAGCTATTTCTGGTGCTAGCTCCTCTGCTTAAGTCAATGTTGGTGCTGGCATTTGCATTTCCTTAGGCTCTGTCCTTAGTTTCAAATAAACATCTGCTCTGGGTCTAAGCATTGATGTCAATATCCATGTTATCCCAATTCCAGGGCCCAACCACAATCCTTCCTCTCCAATACCCATTTGTGCTCTTGCCTCAGCCCTGGTGCCAGCCTCACCTGCAGCCACAGCTACAGATTGAGCTTGACCTTCCATCTCCACTGCCTTCCATTAATAGGCAGCGCAGTCTTTGGAGTCTTACTCCTACAACTGAAAAGGGAATGCTAATCACTGTAAGGAAAATAACTTTTTTCAAACTTCTGCTATAAAATTTGTATAGAAGTAATAACAATAGTTTATTTCCCCCTGACCTCAATTGGGAGGGCAGTGCCTGGTGCCTGAGTGGCTTCCCCTCCCCCCCTTTTCCTTTTCTTAAGTCATAGTTGTGTACATTAATACTATCATGGGGTACAGTGGGTTGTTACTATATATAATTTCAAATGCTTTCATCCAACAGGTTAACATCACCTTCATGTCATTTTCTTAGTTGT